GGAGCGTCAATTCTACTAGCCAACCTCTGCCCCACAAAGTTGGCTCTTATTAGTTTTCCGCCCCTTCGTTAGAAGGGGCCGATCGTGATACGGGATCATCTTCTCTTCTTNTGCGCCATCTTGTCGCGCAATTTCGGCAGTAGTTATCTTTTAGGCGGTGTTTACAATCACGACGTAGATGGCCTTTTTCGCCACAAATCCAGCATTGGGGTACACCATGCTGTTGGGGTTCGCGTTTCACAATCACCTTCTGGCAAGAGCATTCTTCATGTACTTGGCGTAGACGTACGTCACTTTTTGATGCTTGCTTTGCCGATTCAAAAGTGAGACTGTGCGCAACGGCATCCTTGAGTTTTCGTTTATCTGACAAGAGAAGGGATTGCTTGAGTTCCGAATCACGAAGGGCTTTGATAAACGTATCCAGGGCAGTTTCGTCTCTGTGCTCGGGGTCTGATGTTGGATACGACAGCAATGTCAACCGTTCGATATCTTGTGCCAGCTGCTGAATGGATTCACCAGATCGTTGCGTTCTGTTTCTAAGTTAAGACCGATAAATCTGCTTCATGTGTTCTTCACCATAACGTAAATCCAACGCGCTAACCAGAACTTCATAGTTGAAGTGGTTCTCCGCCGAAATCGTCTGAAGAACCTCTGCTGCTGAACCTCGCAGGGCCAGTATCAGTGCTGTTGCTCGTTCTTTTCCGTTCCAACAGTTACTAGTTGCCGCTGCTTCGAACTGGGTTTTATAAACGTTCCAGGACATCTCTCCGTCAAATGCTGGTACCTTCAAAGTTCTTCCAGATGCGTGATCTAACGGCATGGCCATTTTTTTGGATTGCTCCAATTCTCGCTTCAATTTGTCTATCTTGTGATCTACCTCAACGGTCTGACGATCAAGTTTCTGTTCGATCATTTCTATTCTTGTTGACTGTTCTTCAATCTGTTCTGCCACTTTCAATTTTACGTGTTTTAGCTGGTCCTTGATCTGTTTTAACTCCTCTGTCTGTCGTTCGGACTGTTCCTTGATCTGTTGTTTTAAC